AAAATGTAGGCAGAGGCCGCAAGAATGTGGAAGCAATCCCCGCAGCAGGGAAGTGCAGGAAGCCGCGCCGCACCCGCAAGGCTCGATTCTTGGCTGTGTCACAGGCAGTGGAGCCGCTTAGCTCTCGCGCGAAGCGCCGGGCGGAATGGCAGTATTGGCGGCGTCTTCCAGTTCGAGTGCGAGTGAATGCTTTGGTGATGTCGACAGCAGAAGCAGCTGGAATTGTGGGAAACCAAAAAAAGAAGGGCAGCAGATCAAGGGTGGCAGGTGTTACTTAGGCATCGGGTCAGCAGTCCCCTCAGATCACCCATGCTATCCATGTTGTGCAGCTGCTGGTCTAGCGCAGGGCTTACCAAGGATAGCGGTGGCTGACATCGGTACTTCTTTTCGTGTATCGAGAAAGGCGCAAAGCATTACTCGAGTATCTGGTTTGCAGCCGCTGGCATTCGCCGTGTCCGCGGCATCTTTGTTCAGCTCACGTCACTATGCGATTGACAGTCCAGCCATGGACGACATGTCCACGGCTATCTCCAAGGACCGCAAGTACAACATTTGGCTCCCATCAGCTGCACCTTTGCTTTGTGCGCCTGGCTGAACCCTCTTGATGTGTCGTACCTGACTTTATCATCGCACTAATTGTGGTTCGCCCTCGGCCGGGGCCTTTTGGTTCCCATCCCCGCGCCCTGATTGACTGGTGCAATCCACGTGCACGCCGTACCTTGGGACTGTGGGACTGTAGTGCGAGATCAGCGGCTGCCACTCGAGCCGCACTGAGAGCACCAGAGCGTGCGTGGTCGAGTCCGTCGGTTATCAGTCAAAAGAACTTTGTTTGTGTCAGGCAGAAAACCGGCTTTGTAAAGAATGGCATCGGATCGGAGTTGGAGCCCTCGCGTCCACGTAAACTTACGAGGACAAGCCACTTGATCGCTCCGTCAAGCGATGGGGGAAAGCTAGTGGCGGGCGATCGGCCGCGCGCTTGACAGAATCCTTGAACGGAAACGCTTGGACAGTGCCCCTCACTGCTTTTCCGCATGGATGTTTTCGTTTCAAAGGCCATCGTGGCCTGATAACACGAGAGTATCCCAGCAGTACTCAGCATCGATATCGCGGACTCATGGTTGACAGCTGTCGAGGACCCATGAGCGACCCGCTGAAAAGCTAAAGACAAAGCAAGGCCTGAATAACTTATCAAGCGACCAGTGCAAGCCACCTCCTCACCTTGATACAATAGCGGGGCCGCGCCTGAACGGGAGGTCCGGAGGATCCAACACATGACCGCGATGACGGTGCTCGTGTCTTGCCCGCCGGAACTGGGCTTTCTCGCCTCTTGACGAACGGCATTTTTTTGGCAACTGAAATCAATCGCCTGTGTTTGTTCGAGGGACTTTTGAAAAGCGAGAGGCTGGACTCTCCACGATAGTGTTCGCTAACAATAGCGCCATGCACAGGCAGTCAAAGCAGTCCAGAAGCATTGATTTGCGGCTTTTCTCCAGTCCTCATTTGCTGGCTTTTTACCCCACAATATTCTAGATCCGGAAGGGGCGGCATTGCCGCTGTAAGGGCATGAAGATCCGGGGTACATGAAATATGTCCCTCTTCGGAGCTGTTCAGGCTTGACATGTCTTCGAAGAGTTTCAAATAAGCATTTCTGCAAGTCCTATGGAAGCGAGTTTTCTCACCGTTCTTCTGAGGGTCCTCAAAGACCGGCGCGCATCTGGATAACCCCAGCGTATCCACGAAGGTTGCCGGAGAACGCTGGGCGTGAGACAATTTCGCATACAGGACACAGTATCCGCAGAGTCGTGCACAAGGCGGGGAGGGAGGGCACCGGGACCAGCGCGGAGTCAACACCTGGAGAACCTCGGGTTATGGACGAAGATTGCGGAGCAGTGACAACGCGCGCAGCCAAAATGCTTCATGGTGTTGGCCTTAACTCTTCCATCTCCGAAGTATGAGGTATCTTGGTTAAGTTACGTGCCTGCGCCGGCTGTGGCTTGAGCCGCACCGCCACACTTCCGGTCACATGATATTCGCCGGCCTGAGGTGTCACAACGCCGGGAACGTCATGAAGCTCAACTTAAACATCTTTAACCTTCACCAACCTAGGTTGTAATAGACCTGCGCACGATATCCTCCAATCCATCTCCCTATATAACCTCCTTGCGAACCAATCTCGCAAACCAAGATCACTCCGTTCTAGTAGAGATCGCGGGAGTCCGAACTTTGCCGCCTAGCTCGAAGCCATTAGATCAAGCAATCTCTACCTTCCTCCCATACCTCACACACATCGCACCTGATGGCCGACTCGACAGGAGCTGCGGCGCCCAAGCCAAGCAGCAGTGTAAAATTAGTGCTCCTTGGAGAAGCAGCCGTAGGAAAGGTACATATCCGCGCAATTACGTATTCTCTATACCGATATGCTGACACAAGTGCTGTAGTCCTCGCTCGTCATGCGTTTCGTGAACAACGACTTCCAAGAGAACAAGGAACCCACAATAGGCGGTATGGTCTCCTCCACCGCCCAGCCCTCTGTCGTCCCCTTCAATATCCCCTCCCGCTCTCAGGCACCCGCTAACATGTTCACCTCCCAACAGCCGCCTTCCTAACTCAAAAATGCAACCTCCCCACACGCACCATAAAATTCGAGATATGGGACACTGCCGGCCAAGAGCGTTTCGCTTCCCTAGCACCGATGTACTACCGCAACGCACAAGCCGCCCTCGTCGTCTATGATATAACGAAAGCGTCCTCCCTCACAAAAGCCCAGCACTGGGTCGCGGAGCTGCAACGACAGGCATCGCCAGGCATCGTCATCGCGCTCGTGGGCAACAAGCTCGATCTCGCGAACGCTGGTGGGGCCGGCGAGAGCGAGGATGACGCGGACGGCGTGCCGGACGAGGAGGGAGACAGCGATGCGCGGAAGGTGCCGACGAAGACGGCGAAGGCGTACGCAGATGAGGAGAGCTTGCTTTTCTTCGAAACCAGTGCTAAGACAGGGATGAATGTCGCGGAGGTGTTTACGGCGATTGCGAACGCAATACCGGAGACGCAGTTGAAGGGGCCGAGAGGGGTCGGTGGGCAGACGACGCTGGGATCAGGAGGCCAGCAGCAAGATGCGTCAAGAGTAAACCTGGCAGGTGCTGGGACCGCGGGTGCCAAGGAGGGTTGTGCGTGCTGATACATACATGGCTGCTGGTTTGGTGTATACGAAAGCGTTAGGTGTTCTAGGGCTATCTATTTCAAGATCTCAATGCCGGCCGACATGCCACAACAGCGTAACCTTGTTTCTCATTAGCAACTTTTGTTGAGCCATCTAAAAGCTGAGATCCTGAAATACGTAGGCTTCGAACAGACCCAGCCCTCCACGGAAGAAAAGATGCCTTGAAACTGGCTGCTGAAACATCCTCATATCTTACAGCTGGTGCGAGTCCGTCTCTTAGACCCCAGGCATGCCAACAATAGCTCTCATAGCCGGGACGGCTCTTGGGAGGAAGTAGACCGCCCACAGGCCCGTAAATGCTACGACCAGAGCAGTCCACTTCTCGAACCAGGTGTGAAAGAACGCAGCCGTCATGAGCAGCATCCACCACATCATGCCCATAACACCCAGCGCGACCTTCATGCCCAGTCCAGGACCTTCCTCCGCCTCTCCTTCAACCCCATGGGACTCCCTCTGCGCCTCACTAGCCGCAGTCCTGACTTTCCCATCGCTCATAACAACCCTCCTCCCATCCCTCAGCCCCTCCGCCCTGCTCACGGCCGGCAAGATCTCAAACCACAACAGCGCGCTCCCCAGCGTCAGCAAAAACACGTGTCCACTGATATCGTATCCGCCCTTCCACTGCCCGCCCACCAGCTTACACCCCGCAGCTGTGACATACTCCCTCGTGTTACTCATCTCCTCCCTGGCCCCCGGATCCTTAATCAACTCGCACTGCCCCCCGTGAGCAAAAACCCACGATCAATCAACGGCGCCCCAAAGAACCACTGCGTGACCCCCGCCCACCACAGCGTGACCAACAAATACCTGAGCACGGCTCTTACGCGCCTCGGTGTCAGCACCGGCCGCATCGGCGGGCCCAGACTCGGGTGCGTGAGCAGAAAGAGCACCAACGCGGCCGTCGTCCACGCCCAGCCCTGCTTGACGAAGAAGACGTTGAAGATGTTGCGTTTTTGCGCGAAGTACGAGGGCGCGAAGTCCGGCGGATGGGACTGTAGCGTCGCGCTGTAGGGCGCATGGCGTGTTGTGGGCGAGAGCGTGCTGAAGATTGAGCCGAGGAGGAGGGTCCCGGGGTAGAGAGAGATAAGGAGGGTTTCGAGGCGTGTGGGGAAGAGGGCGGAGGCCGGCGTGCGTGGTGGGTTGTTCCGCATGTTGGTTGAGGAGGGTGTGGGCGTGCCGTTGAGGATGGGCTCGGTGTAGATGTGCGGCGTGGAGGGTGTGGAGGGGGTTTTGCGACGTGCTGACATGGTTTTGGTGGTATGAGAGGCGTGTTGAGTCGCGGTGAGAGGGTCAAACGGTGGTTGTGGGGGCTTAGTGTTTGTTTTCAGGAACGACAGGGAAACCTTGGAAGGTTTGGACAGGACAAAGGCGATGACGCAAGCCTGACCGCGTCTGCAAACGGCCAAGGGCCAACTGAAGTATACGTTGCCGTATCCAGGCTTCGGCTTGTTCAACACCAGATTCAGGATCAAACTGGACTCATGATCTTGTTAATAGTGAAGCAGCTAGACTGATCTCATGCGATAGAGAGTAGAAGATGCCTATTAGTTTATATTCTTAATGCGTCGATCACGCAAGGTGATTTTGATCCGTTGACTAGCCTTATGGCTGTTCACCTCTAGGGCTATGGGAAGCTTTCAGTGCGGCAACGGACAATTTGGGTGGCCCTTAGGCCTCGGCAGCAGAACAGTCATGTGATCCACACTGGTCTTCGGCTTTGTGGCGTCTCAACTTTGAAGAGAGTAATAGACCGCCCGGCCGGTCATCCTTTCACGATTAAGCAGCTTTAGCTCACTTGGGAGAGCGCCAGACTGAAGTCTAACTTTGGCCTAAATCATCTGTGCGGTGTATCTGGAGGCACTGTGTTCGATCCACAGAAGCTGCAATCGTTTTCTTTTGACTTTTGCTCAATTGTCATCCATCCAGGTTTGGCAATTGCACCATCAGCCAACAAGCCTCCCCTAATTTTTGTAGACCGCCTAGTGTGGGTAATAGATGATATTTAGTAAGGTGTGAGTTGTCACATAATAATTATCTAGCAAAGACCGTCTAAGTGAAGATGTTATTAGGATCAACTGGATGGCCGTGATACGGTGTCCAAGACAAATGACTACGGCGGTTGAGATAGAGTTGCAGGTAAAGTCTGCGTTTTAAGCTGGGGATGATCGTTTCCCGCGTGCGACCCTCTCCAGGGGCGCTTCGTTCTGCTCCTTTCTTCTCCTCTACATTAGGACCGGGCTTCTCGCCGAATCTTGCACTTGCAACTTCGAACATTTCTTCAAAACTTTGAGACGTCGAAAAAGGCGCGAACGATAGTTTTAGTCATCAGTAGATTTGCTTTCCGCTCAGTCAAGCAGATTGCGGAGATCTGACACAATCTGATGGCACTGAGAGATTCTCCCATGGAGACCCTCTGGTACTGTCGGATCCCCCAAATACTCCTCTAAGAGCTCATCCAACCGATCAACTAGCGGCGCTATCCCGGTGATCCTGCCACGCAGGTGAGATCTCTGAGCACGCAGTTGCGCGTTCGCCTGCTGTATGCGCTCGTTGCTGCGAACCAGTCGGCTTGAGTTATCCGCGGCGCTTGTGGTCCATGGTGTAACCGGTTGAGACTGACTTGGCAGTGTGGCAACTGCAGATTGCTTTTGTAAAGCTAGCGTGCTTTCTGCAGATATTGTTGTACACTGTTCGGCTTGGCCCACTGCCACATGGGCTGCCGCGAACATAGCGGGGACGTCCAGAACAAATTCGCTATTGTTGGAATTACATATCAATTCATCGATGTTTCCGGAGTCATCTAGACCAGCGGCATCAAAGCCAGCGGCATCAAAGTCGAAGAATTCTTGTCCGTTGATGTTGCTGTACGTCTGTCGCGTTGCACTTATGGCGCTGGATGTTGAACTTGATGAAGGAGTGGGAGGAGCTATCACGGCTGGGAGCATTGCAGGCTTTTCGTAATCTTGCGGACCTGTTAGTACTGCACAAAGGAGTGAGTGAGGAGAACGCACAAGGTGAATAGCGCTTCTTTATTCCATAGGGTCCATCTCTAGGTAGATCTGGGAGGAGCAAACCAAACAGATGATACCAACTGTCGTCACCATTACCGACGAACCTCGTTTCTTTCACCTCTTTCCTTTGCTGTGCAGTCATCCACCATTTGGCTGGTGGTGGGGATTGGATGCACCTTGCTTCTTCTTGATGGCCTGCGACATCGTTCTCAGTTTTGAAATAGCACCAGCACCGATTGCACCGCACGAGGGGGTCATGATTTTTGAGTACATGCTGTCTAGTAAACAATGTCAGCTGGGGAAAATCCACGCTGTCTTGCGACGTCTTTAACTTACTTGACACGGTGAAAAGTTTCATAGCCCCCGTCTCGATTCTTCTGGTTTGGCATGCAACAATAAGGGCTGCCGATTGGATCGTATTTCTGGTACGGGCACGCATACCTAGAGCGGATATGTTTACCGTCCGGGACGAGGAAGCTATCAGTGCGGGCACGCTTCAGATCTCTATTGTCGCCGGGGCTTTGGTCACTTCCCTCCTCTTGGGAACCGGTGGCGCGTTTGCCCAAGCTACTAGTGCGACCGAAGCCAAGGCAAGGGGCAGCGGATGGACTGCCATTGCTAGAAGCGCCAGCATCTGTCGGACTACTCCCGCCGCTTGTATCTTCCGTTACTGTTGATGCGGCGTCATACCCGGACTCATCAACATCGGTAATCGATCGCACGTCGAACCGGCTTTGCTGGTCCATCAACGGCAAGCGATTGTGGAGAATCCATTTCATACAATGGGTGATATTAGCCTTGGCGTCATTGTCGTGCTCATCCACTACACGCCGCTGCATCTCTTGCCAAGGAGATGGTGACCGCGGATAATCGGATGCACTGAACGAGTCGTCATCCTCCGCAGGGTTGTGGTCTGTCGCCGAATAGTCGCCTCGAGGGTGCGCTGTTTCTACTGAGGGTGCGAAAGTCGAGGAGCTGTCATTGTTCTCAGCGACATTGTCGATCACCCTAAAGACTTCCTCCTCTTCAGTGACTGTGCCGGAGATGGCCTGAGTGGAGCCTCTTGTCTCAGCTCTAGTAGGACGGGCTCTTTCACTTTCAAGTGGTCTGCCGACTGCGGTTTCGGGCTCTCTCATGACCGTTGAGATAGTATCAGCTGATTGGTTCGAGCCATCGGCACCTATCAGCTTTGTTTCGTCTGACTGGGACAGTTGAGAATGCTTTTTCCTCTGGTGCGATCTGAGATCGGTCTCGCGCACGTAGCCTCTGGCGTTCCGTCTATCACACCCAGGTTCCAGGCACGGGAAGGGCGTCTTGTTGTGCATGCGTCGACGATGGACGTTCAATTCCCGTTGACTCTGCCAAGATAGAAAGAGACAGTCGGGTTCAGGACATAGATGCGACGCCGTTTTACGCACTTCTCTCCTCTGCCTACGTCCAGGTTTGTGATCCATATCAGATTGATAACCTGAGTCTTGGGTGGTCATCGAGTAAAGACTGATGCATTCCCGGGATACCTTGGACGATGGAGCATAGCTCGTCGGCCTTGTTAAATCTGCGTTTGCGTGGAAAAGAATCGGTGCATATGACCGAGATTCTTTGCCCAGACCATCCTCATGGGTTACTTCTATGGCTGAAGAAATATCGGCAGCGAACAATTCGAGCGAGAAACATGGGTCAGACATGTCTAGAAGAGCCTCGGTTGAAATATCTGGCTGACCGATGGGCTTTTCAAACGCTCGAGGTACGAGTTGGACCTCCCACTCCTCGTTGGTCCACATAGGAATGCTGTTGAGTTCCTACATGTCGATTCAGTTAGCTCCAGCGGCTGCTGGGTCTTTTCGAGGCGACTCACCATAGTGAGAGTGCTCCAGCTACTGAGGATTTCTTGAGCGAAGTGGCGGCGGGAGAAAGTGGATGGGCTCTCCTGAGTAACAGCCCGTAGAAAGGCAATAACCGTTCCATACTGCTGCAGCTCATACGCGCAGCTGGGCGCAATGCCCAGCGCACTGCCGCACTTGATATCACCTCTCACTGGACAGAACCTGGAAGGACTCGGGACGGCCGCTCCCGTGAGCGCGCTGTACCAATCTTGGCTTACGTGTTCTTGGTAAAGCGCATCGCTTCTAACTATTATCTATGAAGCCCCGGATTTCTAGGCTCTCCGTGAGGCTTCCTTCCCGCCTGGCGTGCACGCCTACTCCATCCCATAACAACCTCAAGAATACGCAAACAATTCCCTTCAGCACCATGGATGTCTTCTGCGACCTAGTGCTCGCAAGACTGAACCTTGCTTCTTCTTATGTAAGTTGCAGGCGATGCTTAATGCACGGCTGAACATCGCGGCCTTTCCCGTACGTACTGGAAGTACAGTGTGAACCCGCACAGCAAAGCGCGCTTGTCCGCGCATCTCACGAAGTGCAATGACTGCACGTCAACGGTCAGAGGTTAAGGACTGAAGCCCGCTCCATACGATACTAGACTCTACTACATGAGTGCTCAAATCCGCACACCACGAGGTGCGCTCATACGATCTCTCCGTGCACCGAGTAATGTGCATTTTTCAGCATAGTGAACTATATCTCGTTCAACGATGGCCGAGGCATGAGAGCTATCCTCTTCTTACTTGTTCATCTCTTCTGTCTAACATCGACTCTTCTGCGGTTTCACTTGTTATCTCAATACCCCAGCCACCACGGTTCCTCTCAGCATGTTCAAACTCGTACCACGTACTCATCAACGCGGCATCCAATGCCATTTCGCCCTGCCGGTAGCCGTCACCGATCGCGGCCTACGAGGCTGGATCGAATTTCTCGAGGTAGCGCCGTCCGAAACAGCCGCCGCTTTCTGTGAGGCCCTAGACGGGTTGCATCGACGCCGTGTTGGGTCTCTGGTCCGGTTCTTGGAGCGATGGCTTCTCCTCCAAGAACCTACAGTTGGCTTTGCAAGCCTCTCTAGTGTAAGGCGCTCGAAAGAACCCTCTCCAAAAACTTCACCAAAATTGACGATCCAGCGGATTGCTGTTGATGTCGAGAGCCAAGATCTCAGTCGCAGCGTTCCGCTGCTTGGATATTGGCGCAACGACGAGCTCACTGGGGCGTTGCGTCACCGCCAGAATGTCAGCAAAATTGAACTGGTACTGCCTTTGCTGCTTCGCATTCTTGCGAATCCGGAGAACCACGTCCTCGTACTTGGGTCTGAAGTTGGTCGCAAAAAGGGATTCTTCTTGTTCTTGATTGCTATGCTGGCCTGCCTTGCGGTTGGAGTTCTTGTCGGCGTGCTGTTACACTCTGTCGAGCTTGGGTTTACTTGTGGGGGCGGGGCGTTAACCGTATTGGCTGCGGTCGAGGCCAGTCTCTTTTGGGCGTGTCGCTGAGACTTGTGTTTGATCATTATTCTAAGGAAGGGGAGGTCGGAATCGCTGTCATTGAGATGCATGGGGAAGGTCCAACATTGCATACACGCGCTCAGTGGTGCCAACAGATCGATTAGACTCGATCTGACCCTGAATCGATCTATCCAGCTCGAGTCTGGATTACTCCACGCCTATCACGTGGGTTATGGCTAGCCGTTTATAGCTAAATACATCTTGGTCTTGGTGCGGGTAGAAAGGTGAAGATACAGGGGTAAGACTTCCGGAGCCTTCCGTACGCCAAGATATTAGGTGCCGCGGTTTAGAAGCCCCGGATTTACGTCGGAAGCCCTAGATCTACGTCAGAAGCCCCGGATAAAGCTAGCTAGTAGAGTCATGGATTGGATCCATACTCGATCCAATCAATCTGCTCTAGATCGATTGGATCCACTCCAGATTCAATCGAACTTTTGGCAACACTGCACGCGCTTCGTGCTTTAATGAAATGGATGACCATTATGA